TTGGGCCCCGAGGGGCAGGGGTGAAATGTGCTGTGGGAGGAGGACACTGGGCAGAAGTGTGCAGGAAAGGGGTTTATTTACTTATTTATATCCCAGACAACAGATGACTCTTCTGGTTCTTAATCTCAGCCAAGGCTGAGCCAGGATCTCTTTCCTTCAGAGCCTGTGACATCCAGACTCCTGGTTGGCCCCAGGGACTCACGCTGAAGCCAATTTCCAGCTCCTTCTCAGGACAGCCTGAGCCCCTCTTCTCCTGCTGCCCTAGGCAAAGGTGGCAGTGCTGTCCCAAGAAGTCACAGCCCAGGGGACCTCAGCAAGGGGAACTGTCCTCCTCCCTCCCCTGCTGCTCCCAAGCCCCTGACTCCTGTGGCCAGCCTTGGTCTAAGCACGTGTTCCTGAGGTTCCCCACTCCTGGGGACGCTCAGGCAGCAGCAGTGCTTGGGCTCAGGGTACAGACATCTGAAGCTCTGTGCCCTGGTAGGACAATGTGGATGCAGACAGGGTCCATGCTGCACGGAGCCTGCTGGAGAGGTCACAGTGGGCAGTGGGGCCACGGCAGCTGTGGGGGCTGAGTGCTGCTGTTCCTGTATTCCAGGTTAGAGCAGCAGAGGTGGCAGAAATCCCAGGGAACCATGATGTCCCCTCTTGCTGAAGCCCTGCAGAAGGTACTTCCTGTCCACCCACTGAGTTACACTTGCATTACCTGGTTTAACTGGGTCCAGCCTGAGTCTCCTTTCCTAGTCCTCCTCTCTTGTTTCCTCCTTCCTCTTCTCCCTCCTCTATGTGTTACACAATGGTTTAATTCCATGTTCTGAGAACTCAGAGATAAGAGGCCAAGCAGGGCAGCTGCAGGACTGACAGCACCAGCAGGGCGCTGTGCAGCTCTGTTCGGGGCTCACGGTGCAGGGTGGGCTCTCCCCGGAACTCGATGCTGCCTCTGTCTCTTCCTGAGAGCAGCCCTCAGGCAGAGCCTACTGCCTCTTTGGTGCAAGGGAGGATTGTTTGTCACTGTTTAATAGAAATTCTTTTCAGCTGTAATTCGTAACTGATTGGTATTTTGTGCAAAGAGGAGACAGAATATGTTTCCTGTATATATATAAGATCTTAAAGTCTTTTATCAAAGCACTAAAAAATAGATCCCCCTTTTGTCATTTTTAAACACAGGTTTGAGAGAATAGCACATTAATTCCTAGGCTGGACAACAACTATTCTATCTCTTAGACAATATTCCCTATCAACTCTTCTGAAAACATGAAGATGTTTTTGCACTCATTATGTCAATTCACTGCTGGATTTCTGCTTCTCTTATTAAATTGCCCTGCAGCTGACTGATTAGCAGAGTCAGGAAGCTTTTTAAAAATGTTACTCACCACCCCAGTAAGTCTGACACTTGAAATTTTCATGGCAGAACTAATAATTTTGTTATGTAATTCATGGATATTGAATGTTAATTGAAAGTTCAATAACTACAGTAGCATTATCAAGTAACTGATAGATAGTCAAGTAGTTGTACTATCACCAAAGTTTTCCTAATACAATATTTTCCAAACAAGTATTTTTCAAGAAGAGTCAATTTGATGCTTTCTTGTCCTTCACTTGTGTTACAGATACAATTGTCTTAAATAAATTTTACTATTGCTATATATATTGTATGATTATATCAGAACACGAGAGTAAGCTTAACATAACTTGTGGTGGTGTCCTCAGTAGAATGACCCCCAGTTACAAAGGAAATTTAACAGCCTTTGTATGCCGTGTCCATAAAATGTGATCTCTATATTAGAAAACATATGGTTAAGTTAATAATACATGGACTATTTTAAGCACTCACATGACTACCAAATGATGGACAGAGTCGGGGTGTGTGCAGCCTGTGACTGTGGGGTGCACCAGGACGTGAGGGAGTGGCTGTGTCCACAGCTAGGACTCAATTCCCAGTGGGCTGACGGTTAATGGAGCCTGTGCCCAGTCCTGGCCAGGGACAGTTTGCTTCCCTAAGAGGAACAGAGAGGTAGCATCCTGGGTCATTTCATCCACGTGGGTCAAACAGTGAGGCTGGCAGAACAAACCAGCTGAGGAGCTGGGCTGAGTAGGGAGGGGGCCTAAGTCACACCCGATCCCTCTGTTCTCCCTCTGTCTCTTGCTGTCTCTGTCTCCGCCTCTCACACACAGAAACACAAACACTCACACAGATATTGAAACAACAAAGACATTCAAATGATATGTAATCTGTTTAGAAAAAATGATTATGATCCATTTAGTTTCATTCTATTAAACTTTCATAAAAGTTCCAGTATCAGACTTACTGCTATGTGACTGATTTAAAAAACACATTAGTGGTAATACTTTCAAGTAGATTGCAATTTAATGAGCGGAGCACAAGTCAAACACTGAGTAGACATAATACACATGCAATACAGTCAGCACTTCATTTGAAGCCTTTTACATGGATGTGATATAATAGATGGAAAAATAAATCTCTGACCTAGGAATTGGTGTACAGTTGACTGAAATTATATTTAAATATAGTATATTGTCATTCTACATTGTTGTTTTTTCTCCATAACCAGAGCCCTGTTTCCTTAAAATACATTGGTGTTTTAAGTTCAAAACATTTACATGGAGAGTAATACACACTAATATAATTTTAGACTGAACTGAGTGTTTCTTCCAAGTGGCAAAAATTTAGATTTATGTACAGCCACAGAGAGACTCTGAAAAGACAGGTATATGAATTTCTTAAAAGGGAAGCATTCAAACAATTTGTTGAAAAGGTGACAGTTAAAATTATAGGTGGGCTGGGGATGTAGCTCAGAGGCGCAGTGCCTGCCTGGCAAGTGCAAGATCCTGAGTTCTATCCCTAGTACCAAGACAGAAAGAAAGAAAGAAAGAAAGAAAGAAAGAAAGAAAGAAAAAGAAAGAAAGAAAGAAAGATAGATAGAAAGAGAAAGAGAACGAAAAAAATGTGGTAAGCATGTTCTGTAATGTGTCTCTAATCATAAAGAGGAGACACAGGGAATTTCCAATGTTACTACTTATTTCAAGGAATGTTTGCAACTAGCGGGAGAGAAAAGACACATTAGAACAAGCTGTGCCCATGCCACATGGAAGATTTTCTGCACTTTTAAGAATTAAGCTCACTGCTTGGTATCCTGTTTGGAGAGAAAGATGCAGTGCAGATGCTTTGTCTTCTGGAAAAAAAAACAAAAACAACTTGTGTCAGTACATCTTTGCCTCTGCATAATATCTGCCTTCCTGTGGGCAGTCGGCATGAGCTCGCTGCATCTCAGTGGCCCTTCCTGCCATCCCCTCCCTTCCCATCCATCTCTTAACCCCGTCCCGTACTTTATACGTTTGCAACACATCGTGTTTGCCAACTATGAGGAGTTGGCACATGTACAGAGCACATTTTATTTTCCATTTTTATCCCCTTTCCCTCCACTTACCTGCCATCTTTGACACTTTTTCTGCAAGATCCACAAACTACTGGGTGGCAGAGAAACACAATGAGATAAAGCTGACAAAGTGCAAATTTATTCCAGATCTTTAATGTCTGACTATGTGAGGCCGTAAAATTTGGCTGGAAGTTTAGTGTTCTTATGCAATGTGTGTCGGGTGGTGAAAAACACCTGGAGAAGCAAACAATACATTATGGATTTTTCAGAAAGAGGAAATCTAGGCTTGAAATGCTGCTATAGCTGAATTCATAAAAGTAAATGAATTGCTCCTGTAATAGCATTTAATAAAAATTACAATGGGTCAGAAATTCTGCTAAAAGTCCAGAATTAATTGCCTCATGGATGTGAAAAGAATATAATGAAGTAAATAATTTATTGAGAAAGGAAAACCAGAAGGATCATATGGTTCCATGGAGTAAGAGAAAATTAATAAACTTGAGAAAAATGTGAGAGTACCATAAATTAAATATTTATATGTGAATTGTGTATGGATGTAGGTACATATTTGTTTTATGGTACAGATCATAGACATAGAAATTGTGAAAAAAATTAAGTAAAGATTTTAGTACTTACCATTCAATTATAAATAATACCAACACATATATTTCCCAAAAAAGAACTATCACATTATAATTCAATTGTGCAAGAAAACAGAAAATATTAGCAAATATTCTTCAAGATGTATTGTTTATTATGATTAAATGTAGGTGATTTATTACATGTAAAACATGAATATTTGAAAATATAAACATATTTTACTATAACATTTTACTACTTATCACTTTTCAGAACCTAGAAGTCCCACATTTCAGTGCCTTTAAGTACAGGTTTGAACATTATTCAGAAAAAATTCATGTTCTTGACCCTGATATTTGCTTAGTGCTTTGTCACAGTGGAAGCAGAGCTGGGAGGCAGGGACAGCACAGGTTAAGAGGAAACTCTCCCTGGTAGGAAGAACATATTGTTGATGGATTCACAAAACGTCGCCGAGCGATGCTGAGGACCCAGGCTGGTGTTGGCTCCGGGCGTGTGGCTTCCACCAGGGAATGAGGCAAAGATCTCCTACCATGTGGGTGGGAGAACGACAGTGAAGGGAGGCCCACTCGTGCTTATCACATAACAGGACGGACGGTGGGATGCGGCAGGCAAAAGGTGAAGTGGAGAAGGGGTGGGGGGCCAGGACGCGGAGGGTTGCAGGCGTCCACAGGCGTGCAGGGAGGGCTCACTAAGCCACACCCGAGGGACAACTGGAGCGCAGTTCCCAGGATTGACAGTGACCTGGAGAGTCAATGTGGATCCCAGGGCAGATTCAACCCGCTCACTCCCCCGGGTGACTGAGGCTCATGAACACCCATCCTGTGAATCAAGGGACGCATGATGTTAGCTGAGAGACACTTGGTCACAATGACAAAGTGTGTGTCACTGGCTCATATTTCATGTTATAGATTTATGTTTAAAAAGTGGATATTTATGTGCTTTTTCTTCTTTTCTATGCATTTTTCAATTTATACTTTCTTTTTGTGCAAATCACAGAAATGCAAGATGAGTCCTGAGAATCAGACTTCCAGCAGGGATTTCATTCTTCTGGGACTGTTCTCTTCCTCCCGCACCAGCCTGGTCTTCTTCTCCTCTCTGTGCATCCTTTTCATCCTGACTGTCACAGAAAAAAACGCCCTCCTGAACCTGCTCATCTGCAGGGACTACTGCCTCCACTCCCCAATGTACTTCCTGCTCAGCCATCTCTCCTTCATGGACATCTTGCACATTTCCAACATCGTCCCCAAAATGATCACCAACTTCCTGTCTGGCAGCAGAACTATGACCTTCGCAGGCTGTGGATTCCAGATCTTCCTGTCTCCCATCCTGCTGGGTGAAGAGTGCCTTCTCCAGATGGCCATGTCCTATGATCACTATGTGGCCATCTGCCAACCCCTGCACTATGCCATGCTGATGAGTGACAGAGTCACTGTGCTCATGGTAGCTGGGGCCTGGCTGGTGGGGACTCTCAACTCTGTAGTCCACACAGCCTACGTACTCCACTTTCCCTTCTGTGAGCCAGTGGTGATTGATCACTATTTCTGTCAGATCCCTGCCTTGATGAGGTCATCCTGTGTGGACACATCACAGTATGAACAAGGGGTTGAGGTTAGTGCTGTTATTTTCCTGTTTACCCCTTTCTCCATGATCTCTGTATCTTATATCAAAATTTTGCACACTGTTTTGCAAAGTAAATCCTCACAGGCCTGGAAAAAGTCCTTTTCCACCTGTTCCTTCCACATGGTTGTGGTTGTCATGTACTATGGGCCACTTATTTTCACATACATGGGACACAAGTCCTACCACATTCCAGGCCAGGATAAGTTCCACTCAATATTCTACACCACCCTCACACCCACCCTCAACCCTGTCATCTACAGCTTCAGAAATAAAGATGTTCTGCAGGCCATGAAAAACATGCTCACAAGTAATTTTTATCATAAATATTAAGAAGGGGCCTGAGTTGGAAGCTCAGTGGCAGAGCATTTGCTTAGAATGCACTAGGTTCTGGGTTGAATCCCATGTACCACAAATAAAAATTAGGTAAGGAAGATCCTCAATCTCTTTATATTTATATGCAATGCCCAGAATGCAGTTATTACTTGTTCTGGAAAGAATATAAATGCTCTCTATCTATATTGTGGGGAAGAAACATATATTCTAAAACAATGATTGATGAAATAATAATTTGGAAGATGTTTTGGACCTGGAATGAATTCTTCTCATATATATGGTGATATGATATGAAATATACTCATCTTGTATCTATAGGCACTAAAAGAAAATTAAACAATGCTTTGAACAACTAATAAAATTCTTAAGAATTTCAGACAAATACCTTAAAACACTAATTTCTGTAAATCACCAGAGAAACATATATCTAGAAAGTGATATTTAAAAAAAAACTGAGTAAATTATTTTTTAAATAGTACAGTCTGCTATTTAATCTGCAAGCTGAAATACCTTCTACATTGCTTGATATATACTGGTATTGTTATTTATTAAAATGAAAAATACAAATACTTGCATAAAAACCTTAAGTATCAGGAGAAATATTAGACATACCATTCAGGCATTAAAGTAGAAAAATAGAAGCCCTTTCACTAACACAGAGAGCATTCAAATGTATATTTCCACATGAGGGGACCTGAGTTAATCCTATGGAGCTAATTTAATAAGAACACTATGACAGGGTAAAGTCTTAGGTTTGGGAAGACGAACAATGAGATGCAGATTGAGCATCACGTTATACATTATCATTGGATGTTTCAGGATGTGCACTACAGGACCATCAGTCTCTGCCCTCCAAGGCTCGGCTCCAAGCTCCTGCAAAGTCTGCCCCCACAATGACAGCATCACCCCAAGGAGATAACTTTGGTCACAACACATCGCAGTCCTAGTGGCACCCCCTCCTGCTGACCCAGCCTGAGGGTTTGGCTTAGGGGAGGTCTGTCCCTCGAGTCCAGCTGCTCACTCAGATGTAGGTGGACCCTCCACTCCTCCAGCCAAGGTGCTCAGAGGAAGGACCTCAGCCTGGGGAGTGAGTCAGGGTGTGTGGCTCACTCTACAGAGACTGGAAGGAGGGCAGAGGAAACACAAATAAATACTTTTCCCTACCATGTCCACACTTTAGAGACCATTTGGTGAGTCTGTGATGTTTATACCATCCAGGGTGCTCTGGAGGACTTTTTTGTCATGAGCAGATCAATAGCTTCAGTTTGGTGTGGTCAGTGAGCATCACATGCTGATCTCTGGTCCAGCCTGAGAGCGTATGTTGTCACAGGACTTGTGCTATTGAACTATTAGAGTTGAATTTGAAGTACTTTATAAATAATATATTAATAAGCTAAAATATAATTGTGTGTGCTTAGAGATTTTCATTCCTGCTTCTCCATACTCCAGGGAGATCCTGCCTTCCTTCCTTCTACTATTGTCTTGGCATTTCTAGGGATGGAACCCAGGTCCAACCCTAAGTCAGGAAAGCACTCTACACTGTGCTACATTTATGCCTTCTATATACTATTTTATTATTCCTAAATTTTTAGATAAGATATTCTTAACTTGTCCAAATTGATTTAGCTCTTATAATCCTCCTCCTTCCGCCACCTGGGTCTCTGGAAGGAGGCATTGCCACTGAGCCAGGCTGTCCTGTGCTCTCAATATTACATATTCTGTTGAAAATAAACAAGTGTATTTATGTGATTTCAGCAAAGATGAATAGTTATTCTTTTCCTAATTCCATTTTGATTTAGTTGTAAACTTGGTAGGAGACACAGATGCTGAGTGTGGTATTTGGTCATTAACTTTATTCAATAACTATCTGTTTTTTTCTGCAAATGGCTTAAATTCTGTAATGTGAGGGAAATGTTTCAACAGTAGGCAGCTACTCTCTTCCTAAAGGTATTACACCATTGTCATATCTTTGCAGAAGGAATTGGTATTTGACACAGAATGAAAGTAAAATAACAAAGGTTTATTTTGCAGGCAGAAGGCTGATTGCACTAAGAGCAGTGCCAGTGATCGACCCCATATTAGGTTACAGCTTCTTTTTTTATAGGGTTTTACAGCCTTGATCTCATTCAGATGTCCATATTTCATTTCCTTAGTTCATATTTCAGTAACAAGAGAGTTAACTTTAAAAACCACATAACAATTCTTTGTTATAAGCACCAGCCAGTCTCATACCATAGGTACGTCCATGGAAAGACTAGGCAGAATCCTGCTCAGAAACCAGCAACTGAGGTGCACAACAACCAGCCAAAGATCCTCCCAGACAAGCTATGTAGCAGGGAATGGCCACAGCCAGAGGCATGCTCAAATAACATCCCAAGTGTGCATGGGACCCAGCCAGAACTCCACCTGGACAATAGGGCAGTGCAGGGATACACAAGGCCACCATTCTAAACCCATGAATTGGCACAGGGATGAGCATCAGAGTAAAGGACTCTTGGTGGATTGCTGAAAATTGAAGACCACTGGATGAGCAAAACTTAGCTTGAACAAATGTGTTGCAGACTGCATCCAGTTAAATGAGAAGACACATAAACAAGTCTCAATATCAGACTTCCAATCACCTGAGGCAACCCAAGAGGACAATGAGGTGGAACAATCTGTGATATTTAAATGGCAGGACTCCCTGACCTGCCAACAAAAGAAGATATGATAAAATGAAATCAGAAATAATTTCTCAGATAACAACAGAGGTTGTGTTCACAGTGCAAGACATGATTAATAAATATAGAGCATACAGAGTAAAAAATGGAGGAGGTGAGGAACATGATGGAATCCCAACACAGGAAAGAAATGGAATCCACAAAACAGATGCAAACAGATTTCCACTAGATTAAAAACTCCATTGAAAGTTTACATAGCAGAATGAGCTAACGTGAGGACAGAATTTTAGATATAGAGGACTGGAATGAAATTAGTGATCAGGAAAAGAAAACTTTCTCAAAAATAGTAGGAGACCATGAGAGATCAATTCAGAAGCTGTTAGATGATACAAAGAAGAGTACCATAAAACTGATCAGAGTCAATGAAGAAACAGGAGAGAGTGCAAATGACAAGAAAAAAAAGAAAAGAAAAATACTTCACAGTAGTTATGACAGATTACAAGCAAGGGAAAACAACGTGACATACAGATAGTGAGGCATATAGCACTCCAACTAGTCCTGATCTTAAAAAAAAAAAAAAAAAAAAAAAAAAAAAAAAAAAAAAAAAAAAA